GTACCGTGCAGAGCCTCTGGCCTTGCCTAGATTGCCTACCCAGCTGAGGCTCCGTACTGGGGCCAATACCCCCCCCCCCGCGCTACAATAATACTGTCTAATCGCTATAATTTTATTATCTACCGACCCTATAATAGTAATTACACACATTGGGGTGGAAGGGGAGTAAAGAGGACGTGAAACTTTGATGAATTTACCTCAGAATCGCGTGTTAATGCGTGCGCATATTTTTAATGGTAATTCAAAATGGCGTCCACCCCGCAGCGAACGCGTCTCTCTCTACCCGTTGCCAGGGGCAACCGCCGTGGTCCGCGCCGGCCGGCAAGAGTAAATAAATAAATAAAGCGTTAAATAAATAAATATAAATCGCACTAAATCGATAATCGGTCCGATTTAAAGTTTAGAGACGAAAAATCGGAAATGCCTAAGTTTACCGCGGGGCCGGGGGCGTGCCCACCTGCAAAATTTAATCTCGCCGAACCCCACGGTCCTAGAGCTAAATCCCCCGGTAGGGAGCGTACGCGGACGGACGGACGGACGGACAAAAAATGAATTATATAGGTTAGATGGCAGGGTTGAGCCTATCTAAAGGACAACCACTATTGACTTCTTCTCAATGTGGCACCAATTTTATTAACCCCGGAAGTCTGAGGGGCTGAGTTAACCCCCCAGTCAGGATTTCAGCTGCTCACAAACCCTCCGATTGTGAGCTGCTCACTGCCATTGAAACTGCGTGGACGAACGCTTATTAGTCTGCCGTTAGAATGCAAGTAACGAAGTCTTAAAAGGCCATCGTAAATAATAAGTCTTGACACTCAGGGAAATCTTTCATCACCACAAAAATTCCAGTGGCTGCGTGGGTGAATGAGGGGGAAGTGCAGCACTGCATTCTACTCGGCAGCACTGAAACACCTGGGCCCTCTGGACCTCTGGGTCCGGCCACTAATTATTTTCAAAGGCTCTAATGACCACCGCATTCCGACATCAGCACTGCAGACCGTGATGATGACAACGATGATGATGTATTTGCTTGCTCAGGAGAGCTTTAACCAAGTCTGACCAAACTCACGTCGTTCCCGTTTGGGCTTTGACCCTTTTGGAACTATGGCTGAATTTCTTGTTGAGAGTTTTATTGGAGTGGGGGAAGGGGGAAATGTTGAGAAAAGTCGCACGCGCACGTACGCACAGGCGCGCGAGGGCAGCCTTGTTGCAGGCACAAGGTCGACGCAAAGTTGCTGCGACGTTTTAACGTGGCAAAGCTGAACATCGTATGTACACCGGGGAAGGTGCTCGTGACCGAGAGGCACTTTTGTTGAACTTGAGATACCTTCCCCGCTTGATGTGCAAGTTGTGCTAACTCGTCATGGGATGGCGTGAGTTTATGTTTGCAGCGCGCGGCCGCCCGGCACTGAAGTTTGTAGTCTGGAGTTTTTAAGTAGAGTGGCGGGAGTTTAGGAATTCCCAGACTGGATAAATATAAATCTCTTAAATTTAGAGTAGCGTCTACATGCTGTCTAGTGTCTGTAAGCGCAGGCCACGCCACCAGCGGAACGCAGGCGCACCTCACATAGTGTTGTGACGAGCATTTTTATAAAATGATCTTTAACAGTAAAATACTCTGTTGTTTTTTTTAATTAAAATATTTCACCAAGAATATCCGTTGAAATAGAAAAATCTAATTTGCAAGCATGACCAGGGTTTTAAGTTTCAAGTTAATTATGTTTATCTAGGTGAGGATTGAAGAGGCCAGGATAGTATCTTTCGCACGTGTTATCTGTGTCACCAAAATGACAAAAGTAAGAACATGAAATAATAAAACCTTACTCAACACGGTTTTATCGAACACGTGTTTTGGCCCTACACGGTTTACCTCAGGAGGTCTGTTTTCCGGAACACGGATGTGATGTTTCGGCTGTACGTGGTTTGACGCTGCTAATATTCTCATCTCGACGTCAACAAGTAGTGAGCGGTCCGCTAGTAATGTACTCGAGATGTTGCGCTGGCCACTTGCACTGTACTGTAGATACTAAGCAGTCTGCTTGCACTGTACTGTAGATACTAAGCAGTCTGCTTGCACTGTACTGTAGATACTAAGCAGTCTGCTTGCACTGTACTGTACATACTAAGCAGTCTGCTTGCACTGTATTGTAGATACTAAGCAGCCCACTTGCACTGTACTGTAGATACTAAGCAGTCTGCTTGCACTGTACTGTAGATACTAATCAGTCTGCTTGCACTGTATTGTAGATACTAAGCAGCCCACTTGCACTGTACTGTAGATACTAAGCAGTCTGCTTGCACTGTACTGTAGATACTAAGCAGACCACTTGCACTGTACTGTAGATACTAAGCAGTCTGCCTGCACTGTACTGTAGATACTAAGCAGACCACTTGCACTGTACTGTAGATACTAAGCAGTCTGCTTGCACTGTACTGTAGATACTAAGCAGCACACTTGCACTGTACTGTAGATACTAAGCAGTCTGCCTGCACTGTACTGTAGATACTAAGCAGACCACTTGCACTGTACTGTAGATACTAAGCAGTCTGCTTGCACTGTACTGTAGATACTAAGCAGACCACTTGCACTGTACTGTAGATACTAAGCAGACCACTTGCACTGTACTGTAGATACTAAGCAGCCCACTTGCACTGTACTGTAGATACTAAGCAGTCTGCTTGCACTGTACTGTAGATACTAAGCAGCACACTTGCACTGTACTGTAGATACTAAGCAGTCTGCCTGCACTGTACTGTAGATACTAAGCAGACCACTTGCACTGTACTGTAGATACTAAGCAGTCTGCTTGCACTGTACTGTAGATACTAAGCAGACCACTTGCACTGTACTGTAGATACTAAGCAGTCTGCTTGCACTGTACTGTAGATACTAATCAGTCTGCTTGCACTGTACTGTAGATACTAAGCAGCACACTTGCACTGTACTGTAGATACTAAGCAGCACACTTGCACTGTACTGTAGATACTAAGCAGACCACTTGCACTGTACTGTAGATACTAAGCAGACCACTTGCACTGTACTGTAGATACTAAGCAGACCACTTGCACTGTACTGTAGATACTAAGCAGTCTGCTTGCACTGTACTGTAGATACTAAGCAGCACACTTGCACTGTACTGTAGATACTAAGCAGTCTGCTTGCACTGTACTGTAGATACTAAGCAGACCACTTGCACTGTACTGTAGATACTAAGCAGTCTGCCTGCACTGTACTGTAGATACTAAGCAGACCACTTGCACTGTACTGTAGATACTAAGCAGACCACTTGCACTGTACTGTAGATACTAAGCAGTCTGCCTGCACTGTACTGTAGATACTAAGCAGACCACTTGCACTGTACTGTAGATACTAAGCAGACCACTTGCACTGTACTGTAGATACTAAGCAGTCTGCTTGCACTGTACTGTAGATACTAAGCAGACCACTTGCACTGTACTGTAGATACTAAGCAGACCACTTGCACTGTACTGTAGATACTAAGCAGTCTGCCTGCACTGTACTGTAGATACTAAGCAGACCACTTGCACTGTACTGTAGATACTAAGCAGACCACTTGCACTACTGTAGATACTAAGCAGTCTGCTTGCACTGTACTGTAGATACTAAGCAGCACACTTGCACTGTACTGTAGATACTAAGCAGTCTGCTTGCACTGTACTGTAGATACTAAGCAGCACACTTGCACTGTACTGTAGATACTAAGCAGACCACTTGCACTGTACTGTAGATACTAAGCAGTCTGCTTGCACTGTATTGTAGATACTAAGCAGACCACTTGCACTGTACTGTAGATACTAAGCAGTCTGCTTGCACTGTACTGTAGATACTAAGCAGCACACTTGCACTGTACTGTAGATACTAAGCAGACCACTTGCACTGTACTGTAGATACTAAGCATCCCACTTGCACTGTACTGTAGATACTAAGCAGTCTGCTTGCACTGTATTGTAGATACTAAGCAGACCACTTGCACTGTACTGTAGATACTAAGCAGTCTGCTTGCACTGTACTGTAGATACTAAGCATCCCACTTGCACTGTACTGTAGATACTAAGCAGTCTGCCTGCACTGTGCAAGATATGCTATGGATGAATATCTCGTCTCATTCTAACTTTTCCACCACTCAGCATCTATATTTGTCCTGGAGAAATCCAATGAGCTATGAAGCTCTTTTTCACACTCATTACGTTATCACTCCATGCGTTGCCTGAAATCCCCCCTCTAACACCCCCACCAACATCACTTTCGCCATCAGCGTTCATCATAAGTAAAAGAAAAACATATTTTCACTCTTTTATTTTGTCCCAATTTTTTTCTATTTATCATGTATGTTACCTGCGTGATTTGTAATAAGAAGAGTGAAATAACGTAGAATTATAAGTTTAACAAAGAGGGACGGGGTGATAATTCATCTTCACCACCATCATCCTTCATCGTCAGTAAATGATGCCAATTTAACTTTCATTCTGTCTTAATATATGTTATTCTATTTACATGTATCATGTGTCTGTTTTGATTTGTATTTGATACCAAGTGGGGGTAAATCATGTAGAATTAGTTACACAAACAGTGAGTGGGGTGATAATATTGGACCCAGGATTGTAATCCTATTTTTCACATGAGGTCTGTTATTTGTTGACTGTGGTTTTTGCCCAAGACGGCATTTTCGAGGAACATTACCCCCCTTCCCCCCAGGAATCGATTAGCACGGTTGACTACGTGTGGTAAGAAAGAAGTTCAACATACATACATTATTGTACAGCAATGAAGCAAATGGATGTATTGGCGGTACACCGGTGCAGCAAAAAACACCGGCCCTGAAATTTTTAGCGACAAATCTATTTATCAGTTTTTAATTGACCCCTTCGCTAAGTTTGATGTGATTCGAAGGTTTATTCAGTCTACTGAGACTTGCTATCAAAGGTCAATATTGACTCTTGATTTGGTTCCGGGGCATGCAATTTTTTGGGCTGACCAGGAGGAGGGCGAGCAGCTGGAGCAGCAGGAGCAGCAGCAGCAGCTTTCTTGCATTGCCTCTCGAGCCTGAGGTGGGACTGGTGGAGCATCATCTTCGCCGTCGTCTTGAACCGCCGATGGATAGTACGGCAAGTAGAGCATTGGGATCGTGTCGTACTCCTTCTGAACGCTTTAGGGTTAGGTTTAAGAACTGTCCGACCAAATCGAGGGCACGAGTCAAAACACGAAGCCAATCGTTGTCAGGCAGGGTGCTATACGGCAACAGACTGTGAAGCTTCGTGTTCAGCTGCTCGCATAACGTTCGTCTTCCGACTGCTTTGACATCACGACAACTGATTTCCACACACCACAACCACCACCCCGCAAGATTTTCTGACCGGAGTTCCGAATTACGGTAAAATAAATAATTACAACAAAAAAAAGTATTCCGCGCACCACTGCTTTACTGCCAATACATTCAAATAGAAATCAGAGAAAAAACATCCAAATAGTATCCAGAGCAAAACAACTGCATGCCGTGGTCACGTACAAGGCCCAGCACCATCGCATATCACAGGACAAGCACTGGCATATGGCGCCCGATCGTCGGCAGCTGTTCAAGTCAGTGGATCTGCACTTGCTCAAAGCTATGGAACAGCGCTGACTTCTTATCCTGACTCGTCCATTTACACACGACGACAACAAATAATCACCTTCGGTATTTTGTGATGTTTTGGTAACTTTTACTTGAATTTTTTGTAAAAGGATATTTCCTAGCCCACATTTGAAACTAGAAATGCGGTTATGTTTGTGCACTGTTGTCAATTTATTTAGTAATGCAATTGTTTTTGTGCTAATTTCTGTTTGGGTGTTTTAGCTGTGATTTCTGTTTTGATATTTTGCTCTGATTTCAATTTGCTTCATTTACGATAATCATTTTATGTTATTGTTTTTCCCGTTTTGGTCACTCAGGTCACTCTTGCAAATGAGAATATTCTCGTCTCTATATTGCTCACCTAGTTAAACAAATTGAGCTTTGTACGGTTGCTTTTTCATCCATTCATATGAGTTGGATCTGTTCCACAAGCAGAGAAAGAAGCTGATTCGTTAATAAGCTCTGATGCATTGATATTATCGGTTAATATTTGTCATGAACGGGTTCAGGTAATGTGTTGGGTGGGAGGGTGGTGCAGCGGTAATACTGTGCCTTACAGAAAGCACTCCTGGGGTTGACTTCCCCGACTCGAACAGCTTTCTGTATGTTCTATGTGGAGTTTGTATTATCTATGTGGAGTTTGTATGCACCGTGTGGAGTTTGTATGTTCTATGTGGAGTTTGTATGTTCTGTGTGGTATTTCTATGTTCTCCACCGGTTCTGCTTGGGTTTCCTCCGGGCTCTCTCTGGTCCCCCCCCCATCGCTAACACACGCACAATGTAATTGCTCTTGGCCAAACATCCCATTTCTGATAATTCCCCATGCAAATTATTCAATTGAGATTATACACAGCAGCAACATCACTCCCGCCTAAAACCCTCCTGAAAGACAGTCTTGAAACTCTTGAGAGGCTTTTTTGGGTTAACGAGCAGCAGCAGAATAATAATAATAGAAATAATGAAAATAAGATCCTGTGTACTCGTTTGGTTTGCGTGTTTTTATGATCCACTGACGTGACCGCGTCGCGCCGGCCGGCCTGGTGATCGGTGCGCGACCGTACAGGGCCCCGCTTGGGGGGCTCTTGGACTCGGGGCAGCTCGAGGGCGAGGGGTGGGGGATCCCGGCTGTTCAGAGCCCCGGCCTATTTATACCCCCCGAGTGTGAATAACGCGCGTCGAAAATACCGCTTTAAAAATACCCAAATGGCGAGTAACAGTTGGCTGTCTGGAATGCTGAGCTATGTGATGGCTGTGTTTGCCAAACGTATTAGCATTTTTACTGTTGAGCAGGCTGCTGGCTGGCTGGTTTGCAGGGCACATTGTGGCTATGTCGCTGAACATTAGTCTAGCACCATTGAGGTCCTGGGGTTTAGTTTGCACAGCCACCCATGGTTAAACCAGGTTCTTCAGCCCCACGAGTTGATGACCTCAGCCTAGAGCTCATCACCCACTCTGTAACCCAGACCTAGAGTCCATCATTCACTCTATAACCCAGAACTAAAGCCCATCACCTACTCTGTAACCCATATTTAGAGACCATCACCCACTCTATAACCCAAACCTAGAGCCCATCACCCACTCTATAACCCAGACCTAGAACTGAACACTGATCTGCTAATCCAGTCCATCAATATATTGTCCATGTGATAACCCTGACTTGGAAGACAATATATAAAGTTCAAAGGGCAAACCTATAGAAATCTCCTTGGAGCCCAAAGTTGAGTAATTTGTGGGCAATCTTTGCATTTTTAAGATTTAGGCCGTGATACCAGTCACGGTGCGAGCGGCATCACGGAGAGACACTCCCTCCTCCTGTCGTTCAAACTCTCCTAACTGCTCGCGCCCTGAATCATGTGAGAATTATCCGACAGGGTTTTCTTTTGGAAATGTTATGTTAAAAAAAAGGTTTGTGGTTTTTTTAAGGACGTTAGTTTTTACACCCGGAAAGCCGTACGGACAACTTTGGTGGCTCGCGATGGCCGTGTTAGAGGGCTGCACTGGCACTGCCGAGACCACCTGGGTTTGAGTGTAGGCCCAGTCCACAGGACTCCGACTCAGATTCTCGTGCGGTGTAGCGAATTTTTTGGTGTGGTTGGTGAATCAAACTCGGATGATGTGCATTATAATTTTGTACATAGTTTCCCGCACCTTCGATTATCACGATGCAGGAGGTGGTATAGCAAGTAGATTGTGGATTTCTCTGTGCATGTTTTTAGCGCTGCCCTGCTCTCCTACCATTCACGTTATTAGTACAAAAACACTCAAAGCCTTCCTGTGTAAATGTAGAAGTTAGGCTTCGAACAGTTCCTCCCGATTGGGATGGCATGAATCAAAAATCACCATCCCCAATTGGCAGGTAAATGTCCAACTTGCAGGCCAGGTGCTGATTCACCTCATTCCACGCAGGGACAGTTGCCACTGGGGGTGCCCTTTTAGATACTTGAAATTATATGAAATATGAGGTGCTTATTGTGCAAAGCACTCTGAAAAAGTATATTTTTATTCTTTTTCCAATGTGATGAGTGTATCAATCAGCCTCTAGTAGCAGCATTGGTCACATGAACCCAATTACATACAACAAATACGCATTCAACACAATTGGTGCCTACACGCAGTCTTATGCATTCAAGGACAGCATATGCAAAAACAAAAGCCACCATTTGCCACTAAGTGACAGTGATGTAACTTAGTGGTGTTATGGGTTGACCAACTGAGATGATTGACAGATGCACTGCCTGTGCTCTCCCGCTCTTTGTTGTTGTTGGAGGGTGACTGCCTCCAAGTGCCAAGCAGCATCCTTCACTATCCTCCTCCTCTACATGCGATATTTGAGGATTTGGAGCTGGTTATAGATGCTGATGACTTACCTGTGGTGTCAAGAGTGTACACGCACACATGCACGCACTCACGTGCGCGTACTCACATGCCCCACCATTGCGTCCGTGTGCACAGGGGAGCGGAGGTGAATGGGCAGAGCCGCCATGCCTCTGAATAAAAAGCTGGAGGTGTCGTCGGGGACCTTGGTATCCAGCGCACTGCCCCGAGGTTACCTGGGCTCTGCCGCGCTGCCGCCCGGCGCCTTCCTCCCCGATGGCGGCGCATGTGGATTCCCGCCCCCGGGTGGTGGCGGCGGCGGAGGCGGCGGCGGGGGAGGTGGCCTGCTGTCGGCGCGCGCCGCCCGCCTCTCGGGGGCCCTGGGCCCCGGCTACCACCTGGGCCACCTTCCCTTCGGCATCGGCGTCTCGAGCGCCGCCGCGGCCGCCGCCGCCGCCGGTTACCTCATCGACGGCCTCAACCTGTGCTACCCGAGCGGCACTGGCATGGGCGGCGGAGCCGGCGTACTGATGAGCGGGTTGGCAGTGCCGTGCCCGCTGGGCGGCGTCCTGGCGGTGGGCGCGCACGCGCACGCCCACGCGCGGGCGCGCGGCGGCGACGAGGTGCGACCACGAGACTCTCCTGCGGCACGAGCGCTCTCCTCCTCGCCGATGCGCTCCCCCTCGTCGTCCTCATCCGCCTCCTCCGCCTCTTCCTCCTCCTCTTCCCTGTTGCTGTCGGCCACGTCGCCGCCCGCATCGTCGTCGTCGCACAAACCGCCACACCACTCGCGCGGATGTGACGCGCTCAGCCGCAGCTTCCCGGGAGGGTCGCTGTCGCGGGCGCTGCGCGAGGCGCGTCAGGGAGCCCCGGGCCGCCGTCTCGGCACCGCCGCCATCGTCCTGGACGAGCCCTCATGGCTTTCCACCGACGACGAACTCGGCGATGCCTACTTGGTGGCGCGGGGATTGAGCCGCAGCTTCCCAGGCGGTGAGCTGGCGGGGGCGCTCCGCCTGGTGCGCTCAGGGGAGGGGCCGGGCGATGACGCGGGGACTCCCGCACTACCCCCACCACCGCCCCCTCCGCCGCACCCCAGCGAGACGCGGCTCCGCGCTGCGGAGCTGCGGGCTCCGCGTGACCGAACGGCATCGTCTTCGGACGGCGCCGCCGCTGACGCGGGCCTCAGCTGGAGCTACCCTGAGAGCAGCCTGTCGAAAGCGCTGCGGGAGGCGCGTCAGGCCGACGCCGAGGAGCCGTTTGGCAGCGGTGGTGGCGACGCGAGCGCCCTGAGCTGGAGCTACCCCAGCGGAGTGTTGTCGCGCACTTTGCACGAGGTTTGCGGAGAGAGGCGTGGCGGCGGTGGCGGCGGCAGCGCTCACACCCCTGTGGCCGGCGTGCATTCTGCGGTGCCTCCTGCCCCGGGCTCGCCGGAACGAGGGCAGACGCGGCGTCGCGGCTCAGGGGCGGCAACGCGGGGGCCTGGGAGGGCGCGCGGCGGCCGAGGGGGCGTCGGCGGTCATGCATCAGGGGGCAGCTCAGCTCGTGCCACCAGCGCGGGCGCCGGCGGGGGTCTGAGCAGGAGCTATCCTGGCAGCACACTGTCCAAGGCGCTGCAGCATGCGCGAGGCTCCGGCGGCGGCCAGGGTCTGTGCGCCAGCACGGGTAGCCTGCCGTCGGCCACAGGGGGCGGGCGCGGGAGCCGGGGCGGGCGGCACGGGGGCGGAGCGTCAGTGTCCACGGCGGCGCCGGGCGGCGGCGGTGGAGGCCTCGAGAGCGAGGATGAGGAGCTCACCAACCTGGACTGGCTCCACGAGAGCAAGAACCTTCTGCGCTCGCTGAGCCTGGTGGGTGGTGCGGGCTCTGGCGGGGGAGGCGGTGTGACCGGTGGGTGTGGCGGGGGCCTCCTGCTGCGTTCGCTAAGTCCGCTGCGCGACGCCAGCGCTGGCGGCTCGGGATCCACGCCGCCGCCGCTGCTGCCGTCGTTCCCCGGGTCGCCGGAGCACGGCCACGGCGGGGGCGCCGGCTCGGGCGGGGGTGGGAAGCCCCCCTACTCTTTCAGCTGCCTCATCTTCCTGGCCATCGAGTGCTCGGCCGGCAAGCGACTGCCCGTGCGCGACATCTACAACTGGATACTGGAGAACTTCCCGTACTTTGCGAGTGCACCTACGGGCTGGAAGAACTCCGTGCGACACAACCTTTCGCTCAACAAGTGCTTCCGCCGGGTGGAGAAGGATCGCAGCCAGGTGAGGTGTCCCCACACGCAGGGCTCCCTGCTGCTGCACACAAGTCAAAGGTCCCCAGTTTAGCTTTTAGCAGACTGTTGGGGCAAGTACTGTTAGCGAGCAGCACTTTTAAATCTAGATTGAAAACTAATTTCTTTAGAACTGCTTTTTATGTTTAGCTTCTTGTCCTTCCCCCGCACCTCCAATTAGCACGGTTGGCTACATACATTGTGAAATAAGTTCAACAAACATACAAATATCCCTATGAAGGCCTTCACAGCACACGAGGAGGTAGGTGGCCAAGACCGTGCCCGGCCACCTACCTTTGTCTCCCCAGTGCTCATGTTTACACACAGCAACGGGTACTCATAGACAGCTTAGGGGAGGCTTAGGAGTGGTTCAGATAATCGACACCGGTGTTGGGTGAGAGCAGCAATTGAACTTGGGTCGCCAGGTCCTTAGCGCAGTGCATTAACCGCTACACTACCACTCTCCGCACTATGCACATGCACACCAAGATACACCTAGGCAGCCTTGTACTGAGACACAACAGTCCTTTATAGCACAGCACGCCCTACAGCGTGACGGGCTCACGTATGTAGGTGGAGACCCAAATTTTAACGGAGATGCTTTCAGAAGTATTTACGAACAAATAAGCATACAGGTTCACAGAAACACGGATGACATCACTCACATCCACAATGCACACAGCTTGATACACTTGCATACATGCAAGACACCCTTAACTTCAAGTGCACAAACAGGTCTCCCTCTCAATGGGCTCTGACCTGGCTCCAAGTACAGATTATTGATTTATCGACTCTTAACACACCCAGGCGGCATAAGCGCTCTTAAACTGTACGCCCTGACACACATGCAGCTGAACGTGCGTGCGCACACAGACGCACGCGCGTGTGCACACGCACACCCTCCCACCCCCATTTGATGCGAACATGTGACGCGGTGTGCGATAAGCCTTTTTCCAACTACTGTAGATAAATGGGGTCTCGAGTCGGCGTTGGGAGCGGGGGGCACAGTAAACGTTGAGCACGACCTCTTACCCAGGCGTCCTTTTAAACATCACCTGCCCACAAGCGGTCTATCCCGCGCAGCTCCTGGGCGCTCCTCAACCACAGACGTCACCCCCGCCGTTTAACCCTAATCGGATATCACCATTTTTTCTAGGTGACCTGATTGTCCCAGAGCCCTCTTGAATCTTCACTGCCGAGTCGAGTGAATTTACTGTCGACACGGTTAAATTATTCCTGGGGACTTGGGGTAATTTGTTTTCTCGTGCGGAATAAGGATCGCCATTGTTATCTTCATCCTTTACTGGTCGCCACCACCGATGCAGTGTTACGAATAACACTTGGCAATGTATCGGACCTTTGTAACATATTGCAGATAAGGCTTTTTGAGTCTTTGTGCCCTCCCGGACTATCACCACAATTGCCCGCCCCCTACCCATAAGTCTCACTTTTTTGTCTTCACCTTAAGGGTGAGATGCAGCTAGGGCTAGCGCGATCATAGTTTGATGTTCAAAGTTTAGATTGTTGTTTTGTTGGTGCAATCGAGCAAGAAACGGTTTGTGTCTACCTTGTCTCATCTTTCACTTCGTTCTTTAAGTGTGCCCATTTTTTTTATCTGCGTGGATATTTTCGCAAAATTGTATGGTTAGCGTTCCGGCATAATTAATGAACTAATTAATGTAAACATCACAGTTCATTGTGAACTATTTTACCTTCTAATATGTGGCTGTGAAGAGCCGCCGTTCCAAGCGGCTGAGGCCCGTGCAGTAGCGGAACGCACCACAGAGAAGCGCACATGAGCAGAGCAGCCCAGAGCACGACTCGGGCTGGGATCGCGCCGCTCATACTCCATTCTTTGTGCACCTGGTGGCCACCGTCAGACTGCCCCCCACCCCCCCTTTTGTTTATTTCCTCGCGTAGAGGCACGTTTTTGCCCCCATTTTATTCTGGCTTGGTTGCCCCTCCATCTCTTCGTAACAGTGGAGTCTGGCGGTGGCTGCCGATGAAAACCCGGCTTTACGTCAGGACGGTAGTCCCTTGGTTAACGTTTTTAATCCTTTCCACGAAAACTACTGCTCACTGAACGAACTGTTAATCGAATTCACTTGTAATTTTAAAAATAAGTAAAAATCACTGGGTCTGCTCGAGAGCTGTTTCCACTGCCAAAACATAAAACGTGATTCTAGATTTGAAGCTTTCGTGACTGCAAGGATTCATATTCTTAGGTTTTTTCGGTAAAGTCACTTTACCGAAAAAACCTAAGAATATAAAACGTGATGTCAACAAAGCCGCTCACAAATGGGCTTCGCTGATTGGCTGAGGGCGTGGCTCAGCCCCACTTACGAGTGCTCGGATTGGCCAAAATTGGTGCCCGCGTGCATAACGTAAATGTACCGTTAATCTGTTAACCTTTGTGAAAACCATGGAGGTACTATGGGAGGCGAAACGTTAACTGAAAAAACCATGACTGTAGGCTAGTTTTTGCTTGAGCCACGGTCAGATGAGCAGAGCCGCGCTGCGTTGGCCCTGCTTGGCAGTCGACGTCATGACCTGGGCCAGTGGGACAGCGGTCCCGCGGACAGGGGCGCAGCTGAACTCAGGGCCCACCACAATGGGCAGGGAGCTATCAGGCGTGCTGGGTCACGTCCCTATGGTGCGTGTAGCTGCGGATAAGGCTCAAGCCGCTCACGTCAACTACCGGCAGCGGAAAAAAAACACATTTGTGGTGGATGTGTTTGTCAGCGTCCCTGACCAACCTTCCAGGAACAAGGACACCATCGCAGAAGCATCACCCCTTCAAGGAGAAGAAGAGGACGAGGACACGGACTTAACGTGAGTCTTGTCTGCAACTCCACTGCATATTCTACGTGGGCAAGGACGTCCTCATCGCAGGAGCAACAGCAGCAGCAACAGCAGGGCAGTTCTGCCACGGCAGCCACTGAGACCCCGATAGTCTTGACCAGCCATCTAAGGCTGTTGCCTCAAACCCCACATTTTTCTAGGGCAGTGCTTACCTCGGGAAGACGAGGACGTATTCCCAGAACCGGTCTGACTTTGCGTCGACCAGCAATCCCCCTGTTGCTGCTGATCTGAGACTACAACATGGTGCAGCGGGAATGTCAGTCTGAAGATGATGATGATGATAACGTCGTCGTCCTGGGAATTATTCATCGACGTGTCTGCTTGTGCCCACGCGCTTTTTACAGGTCAGAGGTCTGTGTCACACAACCAGCGTTTCACTACGGAAGTGTCCACTTTTGAAGACGACATCATCATCGAGGGGGAATGAGTAATTCCCAGGAACCCTGGATACAGCTGGATAATGGGTGCTTTCATGTAAGAAGCCGCAAGAGAAGAGCAGAACAGAGGAAATCCACGTCGAAAAAGACCGAACACTTGATGTAACTTGTCATCGGCGGAGTTGTCCTTGGATCAGGATTCATCGGACGAGGAGAAAGCAAAAAAAAAAGATTTTTCCGCAAGATGTCTTGTGCTCGCTGGGATGTAAAATCAGGCACAAGCTCAAGCACCCGGAACCGTTCCTCTCGAAAAATCTGCCGGCAAAATCTGCCAGCAAAGAATCTAAAAACTCTTCCAGTTCCCGAGTGGAAGAGTTTTTGGGCGACACTAGCGCAGACAACGCACAGCCTCGATGGTCGTCGTTATGCACAGGATATTGCCACATGTGGATGCGGCCATGGTAGTGACGGAGCTCCCAGACCATCCTGCTCGATGGGAGGAAAGCTTCCAGGCTGTGCTGGATGCTAAGAAAAGGGCATCGGATATAGAATTCAAGAAAGGGCATTGCACGCCACAGCTTCTGCCATACGCATCACAATATATGTGACGTTCGCAGCCAAGTTCACCGTGGAGTCACAAGAGACTCAAGCCCATCACATAAGAAGACCCAGGAGTTTCATCAGGGCCTATCTTGACATCCGGGATATAGCCATGTTCTTTCTTTGATGCAGGAAGAGACCTGCTCGACGGTCCATCGCAGATGGTGGCTGCAGCCATTGTGGGCCGAAGGGTGATGTGGCAGAATGGGGGCAAAACTGACCCTCAGCTCAAGGAAGGGGTGGTCTTGTGGACTCTACCCTTTGCAAAGGGGTAGATCCTCTTCAACAACGAACTGCCTGAACAACTCAAGGCGGACAACGAAAAGAAAGCATAGTTGTGCAAATCCCGTTTTGTTTGCTGTGGCCCTCAGGTCGCCAATCTCTGTTTTAGAGAGGGAAGCTTGCTTCGAAGCTGGGCCTACAAGTCTGTTTTTCCGGAGGTAAGGCGAAGGATAAGCCAAAATAACCACAGTACCGGGCTGATGCTGCCGCATTTGCAGACAGGCATCAGCAGCACTGACGGAACCAAGGAGAGCGCACGTCCCGCTTATCTCTTGCGTACATAGGGGGGCCACCGAGCACTATTGATGCCGGCGTGGACACGCACGATAACGGATTTGTGAGTCCGAGCTGTTGTGGGCTACAAGCTTAATTTCAAGGAGCATCCGCTGTTCATTGAGTTCAAGCCTTCACTTCCACCAGAGGGAAATCTGCAGAAGGGCCTCCCACTGCCTGACACTGTCGAATTGTATTCTCTAGACCGATGCGAGTGTGTGGGGGTGGGGAGCACAACTCCAGGGCATACTTCTCTAGGGCGTGTGGCCGAGGCACACAGAGGGGAGCATCAGGCTACCAGAGCTCAGAGCAGTGCATTTCGCACTCCCATAACTTTCAGACCAAGGTCCGTGAGAATCGAATTATCATTCACTGCAACGGCATGACAGAGGTGGCGATGGTCAATCGCCAAGGCTCCCCCAAGCTTTTTCTTTCTAATGATGGAGACTTGGGATGTCTTCTCTTGGGCAGAGTCACAGCATCTGTCCCTGAAGGCTTGTCACCTGGCAGGGGTTTGAAAACGTGGTCGCAAAGTGTGTTAATTTGATAGTGTCTTGATCCGGGGAAGAGGGCTCTGCACTCCGAGGTATTCGAGCAGGTGCGATGCCCGGTTCGGACGGTTCATCACAGACCTCTTCACGTCCGAGACCGATCACCATTTTCTACGGTTTTGCACCGAGTTATGCTGTCCTAGGGTCTGGTGGCAACATCGTGTGGGCCAGGACTGTTGGATGTCATCTCTGCAAGGCGGAGGATCTGGAGGTCGCTACACTCGTTTGTCAGGCGTTTGGACTTGGACACCTTGGCTTCGCAATACGTTGTCTTCGGTAGAGCAGTGTTGTCTGCTGCAATTCAACGAAGTGGCCTGTCCCCTCCTCCAGGTACCAGCTCCGGTATGTTTGCTAAACGTTGTGGCAATGGATTGGTGGCAGGCTGTATAGGACAAAGAAAACATTGTGTTTTTTACCTCGGTAACAAATTTATTATATCAAATCTGCACTGCCAGTCACTGGTCTCCCACCCAGCCACCACTACACAAATGGCTCCTCCTTGCAATCACTGGTAGAGGCTGTCGGAGTTCATCTTTTGAAGTACAGGTAAGTGACCCGTATGTTCTTTCTCTTCATGTCCTTACGCTCCTTTTCAGTGTCCTTACACTTTCAATTTGAGGAGTCTCCACTACTTGTTCTGTTCAGTGTCAGACTTCTCCCTTCACCCCCTATTTAAAACTAAACTTTTTTAATTTTACCAAGTAAGGCCCACTGAGCTATGTAGCTTTTTTTATCAGAAGTGACCTGGCCACAAATGGTAGCTCAACGAAGTGGCTTTTCACGCGGAAATTTATAAGAGCCAACTGTTAAGCGCACATTTCAAAATGTGGAGGAAAAACCGGAGGATCCAGAGAAAAATACACGCCACCATGGGGAGCACACACAAACTCCAAATATACAGGCGTCAGGGTCGGCATCGAATCCGCAACCTCCTGCATACCAGGCGAGGTAGTTAACATCTCGCCGCCATGGTGCCCCTCTTCTCCACATGGTCTCGGTTGTGTCCGTGGGAAGAGGGTATCACGTTCTATGCGCTCCCCCTGTCATAAGGTAGCTTTGCTATCAGTGGTGAGGCTTATGGGTACGGGGCGAGGAAGTGTCATCATGGCTAGTGCATGCAAGTGCTCGTCCTCAAAACCTTAAGTGCCATGTGGTGACGCAATCCGGGGGAAATTTCCTAATCTTATTAGTAACATTGGGCTGGTGGCCAGCAGTATTGACCAGAGAAACACATTTTTACCAAGGTACTTAACCTCATGATTAGTCTGCTGATTCGACCACCACCAGGCCTAAACAATGTGCAAGTGCATTCCGCGCTGCGTTGCGATGATCGCAGGGATGGTGCTACGAGCACGACTGTTCTTACAGTTAAATTTCTATTTAAAGCTTTCGTGACTGCAGGGATTCATCTTCTTGGTTCTTTCGGTAAAGTCACGTAGAATGGAAATAATAAAATAATAAAAAATAAAACATAATAAAATAATTCTCACGACGTTTCGGCCACAACGCAAGTAGCCGTCCTCAGGTGGAGAACAGGTCTGTCGACTTTACCGAAAGAACCAAGAAGATGTTCTTACAGTTCTTGTGCCGAATCGACCTCAATCCAATGACTCCCCAGGTTAAGAGACTGCCTCGCTACAGTCCCTTAATCACCATTGACAGACCATATCACCACTATCGCTGTGTTATTTCTTCTTCCACGGTTATTGATCTCATTTCAGAGCTGTTGAATCTCACTCTTCCAGCAGCAGAAGAAGCAGCATCAACTCTTAAACAGCACACGACTTTTCCTACAGCTTAGAATCCATAACATTTTCAAAACACGTGTTGTTATACAGAGGGATATTTCCCGATCTAATGTTGATGATGGAGACCATGCCGGAATGCTGAGGATCTTTAGGCTCTGTGTCTGGCCGGGCGGTACAGCGCTGTTAGCGTGCGACCGACAAATGCAATCAGACGGAAAGAAGGCTGTGTGAGTTAATTTTCTAAGCTGATGGCAAATTAATACCACTTGTCCAGTGGAGAGACTGACCGTTGACATAAGAATGTGGAATTTCCACCACTGACTCAGTCCTGCCAATGGAGACGAGCCACGCTCAACATTCACTTAGACAGAGATTCTAATAACGAACTCGCTGACCGATCTTTGACGGGATCTTCACAGAGTTTCATCTTCTTGGTTCTTTCGGTAAAGTCACGTATTATTTTATTACTTCCCTTCTACGTGACTTTACCGAAAGAACCAAGAAGATGAATCCCTGCAGTCACGAAAGCTTTAAATCGAAACTTCACAGAGTTGACTTACAGACCAAACTCTGCTGAGTTTCTATAGACTACAGATGGAGTAACTGGGGTTTCAGGCCATGCAGGCAGAGCTGCTTATAATGGGATCTGTATACACTCTAATATACGAATAACAAAAGTCCCATTATAACTCCAGCAACGTAAGTCATCCTTTTAAACAAGATAATGAGTCGCAGTTGTCCCTTACACAATCAAATAAACGAGCATTGATGTATTGATTTTTGGTGCGATGGTGCTTACTCAGTTACATGGGATATTGATTCATTCTCGAATGGCCTAACAGGCGAAAATGCAGAGATGAGCTCTGCTGTGGCTGGCTCAGAGAAACCAAATAAGCCCACGAATTTAAATGTTTGTTCATTTTACATGTTTACCACTCCATTCACTGAAACTGAAAACGCCGGAGACTCGAGTGAACAACGTCTCGCTTACTTTCAAGCGACTTGATTTACAACCAACGGAGACCACGTGTTGCCCTTGTGTCTGCGCGTTGCCCGCGTGTCGCGCGTTGCTCATGTGTCTGTGCGTTGCCCGTGTATCTGTGCGTTGCTCATGTGTCTTTGCATTGCCCGTGTGTCTG